GCAGGAGCTGCCATGGAGTGAGGAACATCTTCAGCTTTGGTACCTTCTCTTGAGGTATTTATAAACCTGATTTTGTCTTAATTTATCACTGATAAGGATGCTTTATCTGAGTTTGGGTTTGTACAAGCATCCAACCACCTCTGTCTCATGACCAAAGAGAGTGTGTTGGAACTCTGTGTTTTTTTATTCAACAGCTCAGAAGCTGTAATGCCCATCCACAGTATGGGAAACCTGAATTCAACTTCTTTCTAAGTCCAAAGGAATATGAACCCACATCTCCTATATGCCTTCATCATCATCTTCATCATCAGAGCCATGGTGCACATGTGGGAGCAGGAAATCTCAGTCTCTGCCACTGAGGCCATCTTGTTTGGCCTCGAATAATTAAATATTCATTGAGCTAAAGAAAGAAAGAATGAAAGAATGACTTTACAGCCTGGTGTTTGGGTGTTCCCTTGGCAGTGGGAGAAGTCTGCTCCTATCCTCACTCCAATGAATATTTAAGTATTTCCTATTAAATATTCATTGGAGCAGTCACTGGGAACAGGGTCTCTCATCTACCAGGTGAGTACCCTAATCACTCTGCTATAACTGCACACACACATTTTGTGACATAATGAATATTTAATTACTCTGTGTAAAATGAAACAGGTTTAGGGAAACACAGCAGAAGATGCCCAGCTCAGACTAGCAGTGGTTACAGCTTTAGCTGTGAGGGCTTCTCCCATGGCACAGCCAAGGAAACTGAACCTTGTATTTGAAGAGATTTATAACTCCAAGTGTAGCTCTTGCCCATATGAGCTTTTCCAAACAGCTAATAGTTATATCACATCAGAAGAGAAAAACATTAAACAACTAGCTGGTTGGGTAGCACCTAGCTAAGGAAAACCTTAAAAATGAAGTGGCATTTACCATATTTACTAGGCTTTAACAACTTATGAAAATCAAAGCTACACAGTATCAGATAAAAATGATGCATTTTCCCTTCAGACAGAAACCAGTGTTAACATACCGTGACAAGAGCTGGAAACCTACCAAAGTGCTAGTCAGGAAATTTTATACCCTTAATAACAAATCATTTGTGAAAAGCTTCGGGTGTTGGACACACAGACTCTTTCTCCCATCAAGAGATTACTTACCGGCAGCTCCTCTGCACTAGGATCAGAAGATGGGGCTGGACATATTTGGGACATGTACTCTGGATGCCAACATGAAGCCTCCCACATGAAGCTTTGGTTGGAAAGCCACTTGCTCAAGGAAATAAGGACCAGGGGAAAGTGTCTGTAGATCCCTCTGCAGTGAGGACCAAGTAGACAGTGCCACTGAGCAGATGGGAGAAGCAGCAAATGACAGAGGAGTCAGGAAAGAAGAGTTTCCGCCCTTCATACCAGAGTTGGCTTGGGGAGGATGACGTTACTTGAATGTACTCGGTAGCCAAAAATAGCACATAGTGATAATACCAATTGTGCAGCTGGAAAGCAGGGTTTTCCTGGCAACTGGAAAGGGGCTGAATGGAGCAAATCACAGATAAACACCTACATATTTATATATGTAAAAGTGAAGTCGAGGCTGCTCTTTTTATAATGATGACTGCATTTCCGTTATCATGTTGATCTCTTTCTAGAACACATTCCCAATCTGAAAAATTTTGCAAGTGGGATTGCTTTTGATCCTTCTTCCATTGAAAATATGTGGGTAAAGCCATCAGGAAATGATATAGATGTAGTGGGATCACATATATCTCCCTCCAGTACAGTTACGGCCACACTTTATATGTTTTACAAATTAGATCCATTATTATAGTCATAAAGTGGGATTTTAACATTAGACATTTCTATAGATATTACAATAAGATTATTGATAGGTAGAGGGATGATTTACTGTTCAAGAGGCTTTAACAGCCCCTTACCAAATGCTGAAGGCTGGTCATCATCAAATATACAATTTCCAGTCAGAAATACCTGCCATGACTGATGAAATATGGTGGTTTACTGTCTGTACAAGCACAAGCCTGAGCTTTTTTTGTTCTTTTCCTAGAGCTATTTGTTTGCTTTGACATGTCCAAAGTCTTCCAGTTTTGTTATTTTCCAGGTGGTTCTCCCATGGCATGCTCAGACTGGGGCCCTTGTTTTGCACGTACCCAGTGGAGAGAAGGTTGCAAGATGCTTATATTGGCAGTAGGAACCAGAGGGCAGAGCAGTTCTGTGGGCTTCACTGTTTTAATCTTCATTTCAGGGATTTGGGGAGCAGGTAAGTAGATGGGAAGGGTTGGGGTCCTCTCCCAGAGAAAAGTAGGCCGGCACAGCAGGGAAGGCATCCACAGATAATGAGTATTAGCAGCCCTCTTTGAGTCTTACTGCCCTCCCACAGCTCAGCCTCTGCCAGGGTCTGCAGGGCTTGCAAGGGCTCCTGTCCTCAAGCCCTTCCCTTTACAGTGGTGAAAGCAGTGTCAACATGGAGAAGAACACATTTTTCTGAACTGGTGCTCTTCACTGAATGCACCATGTCTAAAAGCCACCAGGCGAGAATGACCTTACCTTCTCTTTCCTGTACATTGGGGTGATGGAGGGTTTTTCCTCATGCTGCAACCAGCTCACAGCTGCAGGGCTTGTAAAACGCTCTCAAAATCCCCTCTCTGGTGTGTCCTGCAAGTGTTTCACAGTAGTTATTTTGGGATATCTAAGCTGAGCTTTTAGTGGGGAAAAGTCATTCTTCAAAACTTTGCTCATGGTAGAACCTAGACAAAAAGGTGACAAAGCCTTCCAAACCATGGTGACAAATTTCTCCTCTGGTTCCTCCTTGCTCCCATTCTGATAATCACTTACTACTAATTAATATAAGAAGGAATTTAACTGCCTACTTTGGGCAGTGAAACGGGCGAATGTGGAACGAGGGAAGTCAAACTCTAGTCTTCATCCAGCTTTAACTTTGTCTGTATGAATTGTCCCATTTATTTCAATTAGTGTCATCCAGCAAGGCACATAAGAAGGTCTTCTGCAGCCTCTTATTCCTGCAGAGAGCAGCAGTGAGCTCATGAGCTTTTAAACCTGAATGAAAAAAGCTTGTTCCTGTCTTTTTCACTGAATCTGCTTTTATGAAGGAAAGGGCTCACATTTTTCTAAACAATTGGTCAGAAACTTTGGGGTATTTTCTTTAAAAACCTCGAAGAAATGTTTGGGGGCAGGGAGGTTGTTGTTTTCAAGAAACGGACATACGGAGACAACATGTTGCATTTTTATTGCCAGAAACTATTCCTTTTCAGTTCTAGGTTCCCCTTAAATGTAAAAATTTTTCTGTTCATTTGAGTGAAAAATAATTATGCAGCTTATAAATGTTTTCATTACATATTGCTATACAAATTTTAGAAATTATAATTTCATAGCACCATTCTCCCTTTTATCCCATAATGTGTTAATTATATTGGTAGTAATGGTTGTAAATGCTTGAATAATTAGTAGTTACCTGAGCACTCAAGTTCCAGTGGATAAAGATGTCAGGAGTTCAAATCTCATAACAGGAAGAGATCCATTCCTACTAAGTGCTTTTGATTGCAGTTTAACAACCTAAAATTTGATATACATTAGGAATAAAATACAGTTTAATGCATGATGTGGAGGATTCTAGGAAAATAACTTCACTAACCTCTGAAATCACTGGTAATAAATAATAGTTACAATAGTGGGATAATTTCTGCTTTGGAAGCTGGAACAATTTCCTTTAACATTGCACTTCTTTTGAAAGTAATTTTTCATTTAAGCTTTGATCTCATTTCATGCAACATATGTCAGAAGCAAAGCTGGACAAAGAATTAGTAAATGAATTATTTAGCTGATGAGTGCCACCTCTATTTCTTTCAGCTAATTGTTCACAAATAGATAGTGACTTTTGTGAACGTATTCATTATTCAGATTTATTCAGTGGATAATTGCCGAGAGTAATTCTGTGTCTGTAGATTGCTTGGAAGCATTTTGCTGTGAGCATTTAATAGTAAAAATCTATCCAGGCTTTCAATACCAGACAAACTAAAAATATCTGTAACTACTGATGGAGTCCTTAAGCATGAACAATATACTGCAATCTTAATGAGCAACAGCAGTGTTTTCAGAAGAACTCCACTACTTTATGTGCTACATAGGAGTGAGAGCAAAGATCTCAACTCTCTGTGTAGTGCTAACTTTGAATGGCTCGCATTGTGTATGCAAATAAGTTTTTACAAGAAAAGGGTTGCTTAAGTGTTTGCTCAGCAGAAAAAAAGCCAAGCCTGAACAAAACATGATTGACTTCCCAGTGAATAAATATGAACAGTCCACACAAAGGAACTAACTGCACAGCCAGTATTTTCCTGCAATACTGCAATGGAAGATGTCTAGGAAATAAACATAACATGATAAAACAATTTTATGCTCAGAGGATAGCTGTGTAACCATATGAACTCTTTTTCCATTTCCTTCTGTGGGAATAAATATTTTAGACAAGCAAAGTACTTTGTAAATGATGCCTTTGTAGGGATTTGTCTGGCCTGGTTCAATTATTTTGAAACCTAGCAATTTTCTCATATCATTGAATCTGGTTTTATTGCAAATAGGGTCATAGAAATAGTCACTCATTGCGATAATGGACTTAGTTTATCTTAACTATTAACACTTCCAGTAGGTTTACACACACGTATATATTCAATATTTATGGTTATGCACAGTGCATATATATTAATAATGAAGTAACTTTATCTCCAACAATCTGAAAACAAAATCACGTAATACCATACAGTGTGGGGTGCAGTGGTAACTAGAAGCAGCATATCAGGATAACAGAACAGAAAAGGAATAAATAAATTAGAAGGGAGTCTTCCATATCTTCTTCAACTTCCAGAGTGTCAATTGAGCCTTTGTTCAATATTCCACCTTTTGTGGTTCTGTATGCTCTTGATTAATAATTGAGAGATGCATCTTTTGGCAGCAAAGTAAGTTTTGTGTTTGCCAAGAGTGATTTTCCACCAGTCAGGGAATACATCAAGAAATAAAAAGGCGAATTGCTCCACATGCCATAATTAGCTGTGTTTTCTTCCTTTTTCTGCCTCTGGAAAAACAGATTTACTGCTGAAAGGCGTGGGACACATGAGGTGTCATAGGCACCGCTTCTGCTCCTCAGACCTTCCAGGGAGGAAAGCACTGTGTAAATCCCAACCTCAATACAAAAATAATCCCTTTGGACTGTGCGTTTCCATGTGTATTCCATGACCTGAGGGGTCATGAGTAATCTCTGGTCTGATGATCAATCCAAAATGGGACATTTTTGTAGAGTTGAGGAAAAAAAGATCAAAAACAAAGCAAAATGGAGACAGAGTAATGAATGGGCAGATGGTCTGATAACACTTGATATGTGTAGCCAGACAGGTTGAAAGCAATCAGTTTTCCTTTCTGTGTATTTGTTAATTTCTGTGATGCCCAGAGAGCTGAGTGCTCAGGTGGGTTTGTCCCCAAGGAATGGCAGTGTGGCCAGCACAAAGTGCAACACCAACCATCCCTGTGGTGGTCCATGAGGGACCCATAAGGTTAACCTCACAGAGAGACCTTCTTTTCACTCTTTGTGTATTACTACCCTGTCCTGGAAGTTTTTGGGATCACACAGACCTCTAAGCTCCCTTTTGATGCAGGTAGGCAGATCTGGGGGCATCCACCCAGGAACTGCAGGCCTGGATTGCTACTGTTTGCAAAAATCAGATTAGACATGGTAAATATCACATGCAGCCTTCTGAACCAGCACAACAGAATTCACCTCCGAAGGCAGAGCCCTGGCTTTATTTGTGGATAGAGCAGGTGCTTCTGAGTGACGATCACCTTTCTGGAATCTATGACACCAGTTTCAAACCCACAGAGTGCAGGGGTTTGTACTGGTTTTGAACTGGGTTCTTCTCTAAGGCAAAGACATAAACACTGAGCAGAATGTGTAGTAGGGTTTTGCATTGTGGTAAAGACATCCCCACTGCGGAGCAGAGTGATTTCTGCTCTATTGGGACTGGCTAGAAATAGCTTAACTCTGTTGAGGAACCTGGTCTCAATTCATCCCTGGCATGAATCCATTGACTAATAAAAGGCATAGATCTGTCTCCATTTCTTAAAATTGCCTCTCTTATTCATGCATCTTTCCAAGTAGATGCTACAAATAGCCACAGAGTTCTTGTGATGATATAGAGTAAACATAGAGAGAATTTCTGGGCTTCTGAAATGAACTTTTTAAATAGTTACAGAATCATTCCACAACCATTTCATAATTAGGCTCCTGAGATTACAGACAAGCTATTATTTGTGATTCAATGTGCATTTTTATTTTGGAAATGTCCCATAAACCATTAGGTTTATTCCACATGAGGTTTTCTAATTCATTTTGTTCATCGTGCCACTGGGGTCTAAAATGTGAAGCATGTATTGATTGAATAAGAGTTACCAAGTAACCAAATGTTAATATCTGCTGTTGGCTCACTGTTTCCACATCAGCCACTCCTGTTCACATGGGATGTAGGAGATGGACAGGGCTGGAGTGAGTGAGGTCATTCTGAGTCAGCTTTTATCACAGACTCATTGTATGTGAGGAACAAAAAGGAATGGAATGGGAACCTCTGCTTAAAGCATCCAGGCTGCTGTTGATGGCAGGGCTGCCACCAGTCATGAGATGAATGAGAAGGATGAACCCACTGTCAGCAAGAGGATGGCTGAGCTGGCATAAAACAGGAAAGGAGGCAAAAGACATGAAAAGAAAAACCTTCAGAAACAGCCAAAACAGGATTATCTTCAGGAATTACATTTTAGCAGTAATCGTTTTGTGCTCTCTGTTGTGTTGACTGGGGCTTCCTGTAATGATCCCTCATTTCCCCAGGTGAGTTTTGCCCTGAGGAGAATTCAGGCTATAGCCTAAAAAGGGGATTAGAGGTCTTGTCTAAATCCCAGATATCAAAAGGCTCCTGTTGACTTCTGCGAGCCACTCTCTGTCCTTAATGGATTTTTGAAACCTGGTAGCCACTAATGCCAAACTGGTGCTGAGAAAGGCAGCAACTAGGACTTACAGCAATGTGAAGGGAAAAGCCAAAGGAATTGTAAAACATCTAGACACAAGCATTGCTGCATAAGATGATTTGAATGCACGGATGTAAATGCTCTTGAGCTCCATTTGCAGTGTCACCTTGCAAGGGGATTAGATTAGATTAATGACATGAAAGAAGAACAGAAAAATGGAGAAAAGAGCAGACTGAAGTGTGAGAAAAGCTCAAATGAGTAAAATACACATGAAATGGAAAGAGTTTGGATGGTGATGAAGAATTTAAAAAGCAAACAGGAAATCCTGCTGTCATTGGCAGCCACTTTACATTGGTGTTAAGTCTATTAATGCCAATATTTGTTCTGGATTTAATTTTTTGTAATTAGTATGTAAGTGTCTCTCTTCCACCTCTCCAAGCCCTGGAGGTTAGTGTTTTCAGAGTAAAACAAGTAGGTTTAACAAAGAGTAATTGGTAAAATTTCCAAAAAAGTGCTTCTGGAGCCTATTGCATCTCAATTTAAATTGAGGTGAGGAAATAAAGCCAGGGAAAATTCAGGCAGCACATCAAAGAATGCTTGTGGACAGCTTGTGGACAGGTTATACAGATAAGTCAGGCTGAAAGCCAGTTGTGTTTTGCACAGGCAAAATGAAGATTTAAGTTGTGTTTTCACCCCAAAGCAGAGCTCCCTTTGGCATGCCTGCAGGAGTATCGGAAGGTCCTGTTCAGGCCAAGACAGTTTATATCTTACAATGGGGTAGCTAAGAACAGGATGGACTTTTACTGGAGCGTGTGGAGCTGGGGTCCAGCTCTGATCCTTGGAAAGTTTGGATTAGATCCTTAAAATGCAATGCCTGTAGGAGGCAGTTTGTTACTAGCTGCTTTATAACCATTACAGCTCTCTCACTTTTTCCCCCCTTCTCTCTCCTTCATTCTTATGGGAAATTTGGTCCGGGAGCAGGAAACCTCTCAGCTTAAATTATTATGTTGGTCAGATTCATCTCTGCTTCAACAAATGTGCTTTTTCTGATGTGGAGTGTTTTCATCAGCATATTTTTCATCATCTCAAATGTATGAGCCTTTCAATCAGTCTCCTCAATGAAACAATGGAAATTACACTGCCTTTTCTTTTAAAGCTAGACAAATGCAAAGGCGAGGAATGAGCTTTGCAGGACAGCTATGGAGAGGGTGAATTAATAGAGTCTGAAGGGAGGAGAATTGAAACTGAGCTCTTGGTCTATCATATGATTCTGGCTATGTGGCTGTTCCCTGACAGATGCAAAACCTCTGGGTACAGAGAGCTGTTTAAGTGTCTTGCATTCTTTGTTTCATGCATTTTACCCACTCCAGCAAGTATTTCTGGGAGAAGTGTTGAAACTGAAGTACTCTCCTGCTCTATACCTAGTGTTAGCATTTCTCCATGTGTATTGGAAAGCTGGAAAAAATTAGATCCCTTTTGGGCCACACTGGGCCAAAATGCTCTTTTCATGTCTGAAGTGAAAATGATGGACAGGTGATGCCACCACTCCTCCTTCCCAGAAGAAGACTTCTGCTTCTATGACTCCTCTGAAGCTGTAGAACTGAAACACCTTTTCCTAACAGTCCTGGTTTATCAAGCTTTGTTACTTGCTGCATGGATAGTGCCAGAGCTGGGAAATAGTGTCAACTTATTTGATGGACACATTTGACAGTCTAAATAAAAAAGTTATTAACAAGGGATGCTATAAGACTTTTCTACAGAAAAGTTGCCTTCTGTTTGATAGACATATTTTCTGTGCAAGTCTTTTTTTGTGCAACATTTCTAAAAGAAAGTAAAGGGACACCTGGTTTTTCCCCACCCCACA